TCTGACTTTCGATCCTGTCTACCCGTCTCCTCTCTCAGTGCGTCGCGTGCCGTTTTAGCAAGCGGTCGATGTCACATGTCTGACTTCGACGATTACATCCCTATCATTGTCATGGGTTTTCACACCTGTCATGCACTGCGGCGGTTCTCATTTCCTGTTCAGATGCGTTGGTGAATGAGCACTTGGCTTCTTATCTGCGGCGTGTTTAGTTTTTAAGTTTTTTAGTTTTTTAGTTTACTTGTTTCTTATGAGTTCCCTTCCTTTTCTGTTTTTCAGTCAGCACTTGACTATGTTTCTTAACATCAGTTTGATTGCCCCATCGCATATACAACATTAAGCTACGTCGAAATCCATCACATTTGCTGATTTCCGCGCGTTAAAAATGTTGCGTCACTGAATGTTATCGATTTATTATTTTTTTTTGTTGTAATCTTTTATGTCTTTTCGAATTATATTCTTTTTACATCTGAGGAGGGCTCAATCCAGCAGCCGAAACTTGTTTGTTTTATATTTTAATATACGCCGTTTTACTTTTTATTTTATGTATCTATGACTATTATCTTTAATTAAATATATTATGCGACAACTCTTTTTTGCCATTTATTTTGTATAAAATCTTCAATAGTAAAATATTGCCATTGGTAAAATTCCATTGAAAGCACTGAATTGTATAAATGAGTAGGAATGACATTCCTATGCGAATGATATTCCTATTGACAATAATCCAATAGCAAAATATTATACCACTGATCGAATGATATTCCTATTGATCCAATATTAACTAATATACCATTAGTCAATGATATTCCTATTGGACTACATTCAATGATAAAATATTTTACCATTGACCGAATGAGTTTCTTATTGAACGCTTCAAGTAGTAAAATCATTTGATAATGATAATGCCGTTGAGTTCGTATAATTTTATCATTAGTTCAAATAATTTTACTATTGATCTGAATGATAATCATTGACACTTTTCGCGACAGGTTTCGGCAGAAACAGCCTCAAATCCTCCATGTCCTATGCAAAATATTGATCAAACTTCAAAATAAAATATTGTTAGTATAAACCTATCTGATGAAATAGAACCAGTATTTACTTTGTAATATAATATTATATAATATATATATAATAATATTATTATATATTATAATATATATATAATAATAATATAT